CTGCTCTTTAAAAGTTTGGATCCTTTTTATCTAATTCTTATATACTTTATTATTATCTTTAGACTCTGCGTTTTTTTAAATCTAATCTTCCTACATTTTTTTAGTTTTAAGTCTATTTTCATCAGAATTTTTTTATTGTACATCAGCTCTATCACACTAAAATTATATATTATTTGCTGATTAGTCATGTTAATTTTCTTTTTTATTTTGCTATTCTTTTCGCTATCGTTTATACATTTAGATTAAATGTCTATACTCTTTCATATCTTATAAACTTCTTTTATGTTATCCAATTTCTTTATCTTAATTAATTAAAGCATCTATCTCCTATTCAAATAAGTATAAATTGTCTTAAATTTATGGGTCTTATATAATATCATTTATGAAGGATGACTTTTAAGCATATTGTACATCATTTTTAACATTGTTGGCTTCTAATTAACAACTAAGTTTAAATTGAAAGGCTTTTTCAAATTGTTTTAAAAAATGAGAATTCTTTTTAGAGGTATTATTTCCCTCACAGTTTTCATTTTCCATCTATTTAATAGCATCAATTTTTAGTTTTAAGAAGCTTCCGAATCTTTACACGCAATCGCTAAAGAGATCATCAAATACCTCTGGAAATTCTAGTTTCATTTTATCAAGATCATCTAATGATAGAATTAGGAATTCACAGTTTTTGATAGCCTAAACAGTAAATCTCCTACATATTTCCTTGCTTCTTTAAGTTTTCTTTTTGAATTTAATTTGAGTGTGAATATTCATAACTTCTGTATCAAAAACAAGATCAAGATGACCGAAATGATTTCCTTATTAAACTTTGATATATACTATGTTGAAAAATCTTTAAATCACAAATCCAGCTTCACCATCTTCAAGAAAGAAAACTAATTTAAAAGATAAATACTCAATTAATTTTTACTTACTTTCTTTGATATCATCTCCCTCTTTAAAGATATATTCTCTTTAAGATACAAAAGATGGTCTTAATAGAGGACAAATCCAAATTATGAAATGTAAATTTTAATTTTTGAAAAAATCTATTTTAGTATATATCTCTTTGTGAATTTCAAAAGCTAACTCTATTTTTAGCTTATGTGGAAGCTCATTCATGAATTTACCTATGTCATGATAACTTTTACTATGAAAATGATTGATTGATTTGTTGATCTCATCATATAAATCCTATTATATTTCATATTTTCCTCTTAATCTATTAAGAGTAGATATCTTTTCTTTGAACTTGGCTTAGCTTGCATCATAATTAGAAATAATATTAGATAATGCTCCAGTAACATATGAGAATGCAATTACTCCGATAATCATAAGGAAAATAGACATGTATTTCTCACCTATGCTATATGCATGAATATCCCCATAGCCTACAGTTACTATTGTTGTCACTGTAAAGTAGAAGGAAGTTATATATAGTGTATAGTTATCATAATCTTAAAAATTGTTTACGAATATCCAGTTTATTTTCGAACCCTCATCAAATTTACCTATGAAAATCCTAAAATAGTTTATAGCATGTTAATTTACCATATACAAGCAGTGATATGGCACATCACTAAGAAAATAACAAGCAAAAATAGAAGTCTTTCAAAACCAGCACCAATTTGCAAGAATTAGTTAAGATATTTGACAAATTGACTTTTTTGTTTTACAATCTTTAGCATTCTTATTAGTCTAGTCATCTTTACAATTTTATAAATCTTTCCTATTCTAATAACTCTAGCAAGTCTATTATAGCTACCAGTTGAGTAGATATAGTCAAAAGGAATGATCGAAAGAAAATCAATTGTAAACCAAGAAGTAACATAATTTCTAGCTATTTTAGATCTATCTTCGATCTTTTCAAACTCCTTGTCGTAAAATGCAGTGCTGAAGTTAATGAAAATATCAATGAAGAAAATAAAATCTAGAATTGCATTCGGTATAATCCATTTATAATCATTTGTTTCGAAGAACGCAATAGAGTATGGACTTTAAATGCAAGTATAAAGTAGCATCCTGTAATAAAATTATTAATGATGAAATAAAAAAGAAACTTACAATGTAATTAGGATATCCCATTTTGTTTTAAAATTGCCTTCTGGCTAAATTACATAAGGCTAAATGACTTTTTTCTCAGAAGTTTCTTCTTTTGAGAAGTTGCTTAATAATTTTTCTCCTTGTTATTCCTCACCATTTTATTATGATACGTCCATATCAATTAATTAAGGAGTATTTGGATCAAAATCTGTTTCTTATGTCTTAGAGAATTTAGCTTTGATAGAGTTTAAAACATTATAAATTCCTCTCTTTAAGGTTCTGCTGAAACTACTATTCATATCACGATTGGAATTTGAATAAACTTTAGTATTTTATCTGTGAAACCTGCCAACAATAGCTTGTCTGAGGTTATGCTTGATTTCATTGCATTAGTTCTCAAAATAACTATTACTCTGACCCTTTGAATTCTCTATTTAATCTAGCTAATCAATATCTTTTAGACTTATTGGTTTTAAAAAATTTTTCTTGATATTATTATCCATAATTTCTCTGAGAGGCTTTTATAATTCCTCATATTTTCTTTATTCATCCATTACTTTACTTTATAACTTCGATATCTATGTTCTTCCTCGAGGAAATATTGCTTGAGATTTGTTAAGCTCATTATCCTTAATTATAATGATTGGATTTTCATTAGTTATTCTTTACCTTTTTTCTGGTTATCTAGCATCTTATTAGAAATTCATTGAATTTTCTTAATTATCTTCAATAAACTATTTGTCTTCTGAATTTCATTCAAAATTATGCTGATTCTTTTGATTGAAATCTTGTTTGACCATTTATCTTCTATTTCTAATTGGCTTTATAGAATCTCCAACTCTAATAAAGTTCTTTTAAGGATATTCCATCAAACCATGAGTACTTTTGTCATTAATATAACTGACATTTTAGCTGTTAAATTTATCTTTTAATTAGGATTAATCAACCTCTTTAGTATCTTAGTGCAATATTATATCTTCATTAATAATTGCATTACCATTATGTAGGCTTAAGGAGTTTTTTATGATTTTACTATTTTAATCAGCAGATCTTTCATCTAGAGCTAATGTTTCTTTTTCATTAGCCATATTTATAGATAGATCATTTGATTCACCATTATTTGTTATTTTTTAAATGAATGGAGACATTGACAGTTATGATTTAAAGCTTTGAGCTTTGCAAGATTTATCATCATTGTCTTAATTTAGTTCATCATCATCATCTCCATTATGCTAAATCTTCTTCATATTATTTTTGATATTGCTTTTAAATGGGGAATCTTCTATCATTTTATGATCTTTATTGTTCATATTTTGTATACAGTATTTTTTTGTATTAATTAATTATCAATAATTTCAGTTTGCTCACCGTTATTTGACTTTATGGGGTTTTGGGGTTTTGGGG